TTGTTCTTCCTTATTCTTAATCTTCGGATGAAATCGAGGACTCAATTCTGTTTTGTAAGGCTGATTTTTTACGTTGGCTTTTGAGTTTTTCGCAGCTCTTTCCCATCAATGTAAGGTCGAATATTATTATATTTATTTATTTTCTTTTAGGTTATTTATTCATGTTTTTTTGACTATGCGATTCGTTCATTTACCGACGTTTGTGATTTTAATGGCTGTAATTCTCGTTTTAGGGATATTTGTTTGTAATGGCATTTGTTCGAGTGAGATTTTGTTTAGTTGTTTGGGTTTCTTTGTTTTGGAATCGAAAGTGGATCTGGATTGAATTAATTGACTTGATTTTGGAGCTTAATGTTTGGTTTATTCTGTTTGTAAGAATTTCTGTTGAATTTTTGGATATTTGGTGGCTTTTCTTGTGAATTTGTGATAATTTTGGGAAGATATTTTGGGTTTCGATGAATTTTGTGGGAATTTTATGAATTGTGATTTTCTTGCAGTTCTTAATTACTTGATAGGTCATTCTAAGCAGTTTATATGAAATGTATCGGATTGGAGTTGAAATTTTCTTATTATAGTTTAATTTTTGGACAGTTTTGTTGTTTGATAATTAAATCATTTTGTGATTTTTGATTTTATCTGTACATTATCTGATGTTAATGTTGGAGAAATTTAAGATTGCAAGTGAAGGTTGGCATTTAGGTTGAGAGATTCTAATGGTTTAAAGCTTACTGAAATGTGTTACTGCTGGAGAGTCTTAGTTTTTTGTGTCATTTCGAAATTTCATCTGTTGATTTCTAGATGTTAGCAGTGGAAAACGATCCAAAGCTAAGATCGTTAAGAGAATGTATGAATCTGCAAGTCTCGGTCGGAATATGTTGAACTAAAACAGGTTTGTTTTCTTTGGCAGATGGATTTGGTCAAAGAAAATTACGGTGACGCCGATGACAACGAGGATGGATCTCCCGAACAGTCGGTTTCTCAGGAAAATTCTGAAATATGCGATGAATTTTCAGAACCAGAGGTTTCTCCTCGAGTTGGTGACGAATATCAAGTTGAAGTTCCTCCTCTGTTGTTGAAATCAGATATGAACTTGTTTCAGTGTTGCAAGGAGGCAGAAATTCAGGATAGTAGGCTCCATGAAGTTTTTGTTGGATTGCCCGTTCGGGTAATGTGGATTTCCGAGCAAGCTCGTTGGATGGAACGTAAGCTATGTGAAGATACAGTTGAGAAATGCAACAGAAATGAGGTCTTGAAAGTTGAATCATTTGAAGATGAACAGGTAGGCAATGGTGCAAAGTCGAACATCGAGGCAACGGAAGTAACGACAGGCAGTACAATAGATGTCGCCTTGCCGAAAGAAACCATGCTTGTGACAGATACAGATCAGAAGGATAATACCGATGGTGGCTGTCTGGTTCCTGGTGTCTCGGGTGAGCCTTGGAGTGATGGAGAAGAGGCGAGTTTCCTTCTTGGTTTATACATATTTGGGAAAAACCTTGTTTTGGTGAAGAAGTTTGTTGGAAGCAAACAGATGGGGGATGTTCTGTCGTTCTACTATGGAAAGTTTTATCGGTCGGAAAAATACCGCCGATGGTCTGAATGTCGGAAAGCTCGAGGCAGAAAATGTATCTTCGGACCGAGATTGTTTAAAGGTTGGAGACTACAGGAATTGGTTTCGCGGTTGCTTCCTCGTTTAGCAGAGGGTAACAAGAATGCATTAATGGAGGTATTGACTATGTTTCTTTTTCTTCAATCAAGACTGTTTACTGCATTTGATTATTCTTTCGTTTTTCTCAATGAAAGTACGGTTTCTGTTGCACGGTCAGGTCACGAAAGCGTTCAGCGATGGCAAAGGTTCTTTTGAAGAATACGTGTTTGCTTTAAAGGCTACGGTCGGAACAGAAGCTTTTGTCGAGGCAGTGGGGATCGGTAACGGGAAGCAAGATCTTACAGTAGTTTCGATGGATCCATTAAAATCGAATCACGTTTCTTCTCTTCGACCCGAGATACCAATTGGGAAAGCATGTTCTGCCCTTACTCCCTTGGAAATTGTCAACTATCTAACAGGTGATTTCAGGTTGAGCAAAGCTCGATCGAATGATCTCTTTTGGGAAGCTGTTTGGCCTCGTTTGCTTGCTCGGGGATGGCACTCCGAGCAGCCGAGGAATGTTTTTACTGCTGGTGCAAAGCATTCATTGGTCTTTCTCGTCCCGGGTATCAAAAAGTTTTCGAGGAGAAAGCTCGTAAGGGGAAATCACTATTTCGATTCAGTCAGCGACGTCCTTGGTAAAGTCGCTTTGGATCCTGGACTACTTGAGCTTGACAACAATGCCGATAACGGTAGTAAGAGCAAGGAAGAAAACGGGTGGACCGATGACTCGAAAATTGACCAAGACGATTTTCCTTCTCAACAACGCCATTGTTATCTCAAACCAAGAACTCCAGCCAACACCGATTTTGTGAAGTTTACCGTGGTCGACACCAGTCTGGCTAATGGAAGTGCATCAAAAGTCCGAGAACTTAGAAGCTTACCACTTGACTTACTAAGCGTTTCTACGTCGAGATCTCATTTCGAAAATAACGACCTATATTCTTCCAGTGAGTCAATGGAGGAGTCTGATTCCGAAGAGGACCGACGTTCCGGCAAGGCCGAAACTGCTGGTACCTCTCGAGCCTGGAGAAGAAACAAGAAACAAAAGGTCTGCTCGAATGGACATTATTCTCCATCTGATTCTACTGATTCACCTGCAGAAGTTTCGAAGGAACACAGCTGCATACCATCCGATAGCACGCGATCTCAGAACGGTATTGTGCACGAGTTTGGCCAAAAATCGAGATCGATCAATAAAGGAAAGCCTTCTAATGTCACCAAAAAACGCAGGAGATTAAACACTTTTGGTTCGAAGTGCACAAGTAATATTTCGGTACCAACCAAACCGAAAAACGATGCCTGCTGCTCTAAAGACGGTCCCGGTACTATTAAGAACGTCCTGCCTGGATGCAGTCCCATATCTAGCCATGATGGAAACCCGAATGATATCGCTCTCAATCAATCTCGTGCCTTAATAGACAAAGACTTGTCTGTTCCTCTCAACACGAAAACCGACAAACCTATAATAACACAAACGAGAGAAGAACAACCTGACCAAACAAGCAAGGAACCAGACCAGCCCAGTGTAGCTAGAACTTTTGAAGTCCCAAGCATTTCTGATCAGCAACATTGTCTGAATTCAAGGAGAGTCGGTAGTCGAAACCGACCCCCGACAGCTCGAGCACTGGAAGCACGAGCTCTAGGATTGTTGGACGTCAAGCAAAAGCGAAAGCATAAAGATCCATTTCTGGAAGGGAACTCGATGATGAGGCCGCCGCGACGTGCTCGTCCAAAGGTAAGACCTACTGAGAACTTGGGAATTAGCATTGAAAAATTAGAGATTGAAGATAGAGCAGTAGTTGTTAGTTCATGTAACAGTAATAGCAATAGCATTAGTGAGGTGTTATCTAAGCTTGAAACTTAATCCCTCAAAAAGAATTTACTTCTTGATTTGTCTTATTTATTGTGGCATATATATTGGTATCACTCTTGAAGGCTTCTCTTTCCTATGCATCAACAACACTTGGATAGTCTAACCGAAACTCGTAGCTAATCCTTTGCTCTCGTGTTCTTTCCGAGTTTTTGTGGGGTTCGTTGTCTCTTATGTTCTTGCTCTGAGTTTCCGTGGGGTTCGTTGTCTCTCGTGTTCTTGCCGAGTTTCCGTGGGGTTCATCGTCTCTCGTGTTCTTGTCGAGTTTCTGTGGTGTTTGTCATCTCTCGTGTTCTTGCGAGTTTCCGTGGAGTTCATCGTCTCTCGTGTTCTTGTCGAGTTTTCGTGGGGTTCATCGTCTCTCGTGTTCTTGTCGAATTTTCGTGGAGTTCATCGTCTCTCGTGTTCTTGTCGAGTTTTCGTGGGGTTCATCGTCTCTCGTGTTCTTGTCAAGTTTTCGTGGGGTTCATCGTCTCTCGTGTTCTTGTCGAGTTTTCATGGGTTTGTCATCGGTAAGTTTACATTTTTATTTATTATTTTGTCTTTCATATTGTAGGGCTAATCTCGAAAGATATGATATGTTCTAAGTTCAAACGGTAGATTCTATCCGACTTTTATCAATAAAACTCTTCATTGAAACAACTTTCGTTTATTTTGATGAACCATGGCTTGGAAGTTCTTAAAAAATGTGTTTTTAAAAAGAAAATTAATTAAATGCCATTTTATTCCTTTAAATTTTTTTGTCAAATTACTTACGTATTCAACCATTTGTAATGGTGAGGTTTTGAATATTTTACATTTATGACGCATTTTTTTATATATATTTAACCATTTTTTTCTAGTTAATAAAAATTTTAAAAGGAGTATCAAAATGACTAATAGTGAAGAAATGTTATGTGAAAAAATAATAATAATAATAATTTTATCCCAAAATGATTTTTTTTTTTTCACTTTTTGATAAAAAAATTTAAATCAATCGAATTATACAAAATTAAAATTTAAACATTTATTAGATACAAAATTAAAATTTAAAAGATCGAATAATAATTTTAAACGGACTAAATAACTATGGATATTAGACGTTGTGCGTATTGACCTGTGCAATGCTATAGCCAACGCGTTAAGGTATCCCATCTGGAGGGTACGTTCGTAATCTAAACCGAAATTATATAAACATTGCAATTTTCACCAATTCGTTAAATTTAACAAAAAAAAAAAAACCTATAAATGCAAAAAATCAAGGATTGAATAATTTTACCAAAATTAATAAATTATACACACACATATATATATACATATATACATACATATACATATATACATACATATATATATCTACATACATACATATATATATATATATATCTATATATATATATATATATATCTACATACATATATATATGTATATATATCAAAAAGCTTCATTAAATGAGGTGTGAAGAAAAAAACAGGTATAAATAAACAACGACCACGCAAAGTTTTCATTGCGTGGAGAATAATCGGATCGGCCACGTTCGCCATCCAGCGCTCTTTTATTTAAGTTCTCTCCGTAGCGGCTCGAGTTTGTACTCAGTAACACCGAGTCCGGATTCACCGAGTCCACATTTCCTCTCCATTTCCCCCTGAAATTTTTGTCGTAAAACCCTCCGTCTCGTAGGGTTCTTGATTCTTTACGCTTATCCTTTGATGTATTTCGTATGAATTTATATCTCTGATTCCAGTTCGTTTTGTGAGATCGTTGTTCGTTTCGAAGAAGGAAGGATGGGACAGGCATTTCGTCGAGCGGCTGGAAGAATAAAACCGGCTTCGAGTATCGACTCCTCTGCCTCTTCGTTGAAAATGGAGAGCGTCGTAGATCGGAAGCCTCCACCGCGTGCGGCCGAGAAGGCTCGTGAGAGCGGCGCGCTTGATTCTGGTAATTGTAATTTTTTAATCGTTTGCGGTGGTGTTTTCTCGGATTTGTTTGATTTCTGTTCTTGTTTTCCTCTGGCACTTTGAGACTCGAGGCTGAAGGTTCTCGAAGAAGGATTATGTAGGTTTCTCTGTTGAATTAAATGCAGCTTCGTAGGATTGTACGAGTTCTAAATCATCTGATTTCGATAACGAGCTTCATAATTACTTTTTTTTTTACAACTTCCTTTCTTTCCACTTTCTCTTATTAGCTTTGTTTTTGTTTTCTTTTTTCATTTCTTCATTAGGATTTGAATCTAAGTTCATTTAGTGTTGATCTGTTCATTGCTTAAATAACTATTTCGTTATTGTTTACTGACTTATGTCTCTGTTTTCTTCTTTCATTTTTGTTTGTTGACTTCTGTCTCTCTGAACAAGAATATCTTCTTGTTACTGTTCACCATTGTCTATCTTTCTTTTTAGTGTTTGATTTTGCAGAACTATGGATGAGGTTACTATTTAATGTGAGCGTTTCCTTCTGGTTACGGTTAACGTGATATTTTTGGTCCTGAACTTTGAGTTCACTTGCTTCTCAGATTGTGATTTTTTCTTCTTTTTACACTATTTCTGTTAGTTGTATTTATTGAGACAAAAGTTGAGAGTTCTTTATACGCTGCTTCTATTGTGTATTTTTTTGTGAGCTTCCGATTTAGGTTTCCAATGTCTAAGCATGTAAATAAAGCATAGAGGCCAAAAAAAATGCTCTGGATGCTAGGGATTAATGGACGGTTATGTTTTCTTTCCTGAAGCATAATAGCAATTTGACTCTCTTTCTCCGTTGAACCAAATAGCAATTTGATTCTCTTTCTCCGTTGAACCAAATATCAATTTGATTCTCTTTCTCCGTTGAATCATATGCAGTTCCACAGAATTCTTACGAGTTCTATATAATCAGATTTCAATAATGAGCTCGATTTTTTGTGCGGTTAATCTGGAAAGGCAGTAAACATCAAATTGGTGAAGTATTTGCCTATAAAATTAGGCGAGTTCTATATAATCAGATTTCGATAATGATCTCGATTTTTTGTGCGGTTATTCTGGAAAGGCAGTAAACATCAAATTGGTGAGGTATTTGCCTATAGAATTAGGAAAAAAATCTGAGTAATAGCTTTCTATAATGCTTGTAAATCGATAAGCAGTGTGAAAAGTCACTCCAAAGTAAGTTTAGGTCAATCTGGAAGAGTAGTATGCATAGAATTGGTGAGGAAATTGCCTATAAAATTTGGAAAAAATCTGAGTAATGGCTTCTATACTGCATGTATATCGATAAGCAGTGTGAAAAGTCACTCCAAAGTCAGTTTAGGTCAGTCTGGAAGGGCAGTATAGATTGAATTGTTGAGGAAATTGCCTATAAAATTAGGAAAAAGTCTGAGTAATAGCTTTCTATACTGCATGTAAATCGATAAGCAGTGTCACTCCAATGTCAGTTTAGGTCAATCTGGAAGGGCAGTAGACATTGAATTGTTGAGGAAATTGCCTATAAAATTAGGAAAAAATCTGAGTAATAGCTTTCTACAGTGCGTTTTAATCGTAAAGCAGTATCTCCAAAGTCAGTTTGGCGATTGTTTTTTCTGAAGGGAATTGATTCATAGGATGTAATATATTGAATGCTGATCGCTTCCAATTGTTAATGCAGGTGACGTCTTGGGAAGTAATTCTGAAAATGTGCTCGAAGAACGAGATCCACAGTTTGATGCCATGCTTAGCCAAATGGCAGGTCGAATTAGATCAAAGCCTGGAGGAAAACTTGAGATGGGGGAGGTAAGCTTCCATAAGAAGCTTCTGAATTACTTTTATAGTATAAGGCATTGAATATAAATTTTAGACTTCTTCCATCTTCCGGTGCTCTCTATTCTTCTTTCCATTAATAATCCTTGAAGTCTGACCAGTCCTAGAGTCAGCTGGTGTGATTCTACTGAAAATTTTCTTAAAAATCAATATAAATTGCAAGTAAATATCATCTAAGTTCTCCAGTTATTTGATAACTACTCAATCTTTTTGATAAATTATCACTATAGCAGACACTAATTTAAATTCGTGATTTCATAAGCATATAATTTAATAGTCTGTTTCTATAATTTAAATTTGCCTCCTCAGAGATTAGAAGGACTACTTATTTCCTTTTCTTTTAATGAATCAAAAGCTTTGCTGGTAGATCAATCAGAAGTGTTATACGTGTGTGTGTGTGTGTGTATGTGTATATATATATATATATATATATACACACTATTGTTGAGGAGGTTAGTTTTGTTCTTTGATTTGGAAGAAAACTCTCTAATCCTCCTTATTCATATCAATTTAGGCAAAGGCATCGTTCTTTTCTTTGGCTTTCTAGATATTGTCCCTTCCCTTCTTTAATCAAATGCCTGTCTCCTGAACGTGTGCATATTTATATATCTATCTATATATGTAATTGCTGTTCGTATGATTGCGTTTGGTTGATGCCCTCTATTTAAGAACTTGCGATTTTAAAACGAGTCTTTATGGGATGATTTTCCTATTTGCGTGATTTTGACGATGTAATATAGGCTTCTGTGGTGGAGAGGTATGACAGACCAATGCCAAGGCTACGAAATACTGATTTAAAATCGAGTAAATACGAGGATCGCCCAGCCCCACCAGGAACGCTAAACGTAGCACAGATGCGCCACATAATGCTCTTGCATGAAGGGAAGGCTGAAGATCATGATGGGCCAATGGGAGTTAACCAAATTGCTGAAAGGTATAATGTGGGCGTTGCTCAAATACGGACGATTTTGCAATTTTTGTCTCTGCCTCCAGAGGACAGTCTTCGAGACAAAAAGAAGGTTTCTAAATAACAGGTTTTTATTTACTTATTTATTTATTTGTTTGTTGGGACTGAGCTTTAGATTTTGGTTTTTCTGTACTAAAATTTGGATGTCGTTTTTAACATGCTGAAACTCCTTTCAGGAATGGAGCCAAGAAAACAAAGAGGCATTTTCTCCTTGAGCTTTTTAAAAAATAAAGGTTTTTATAATTCTCTTCTAATTTTTGTTTCTTAATTATATTTATTTTCTTAACTTATTTTGTATGGGTTTAATTTCAAGTTTAGTCCTCGAGTTTTTCAATTGTGCCTTTTTAATTACCAATCACTTTCGATTTTGTTTTCAGTATGTCTCTAAACTTTAAAAAGTATAATTTAGTTTTAATAAGGTTAGGACTATAGAATCAAAATTTTAATTTATAGTCTAGGTCTGCTAATTTGAGAAATAATTAGTAATCAATTAAACAATTTTTAGAGTTTAAGAATTAAATAATTTAATCTTTTTTTATGTAATAGTTTTTTAAAGAATATTTAATAGGTTTTATAACTTTTAGTCTACTCATTAAATTTTTTATTTTATTTTATATCTAATAGATTGCCTATTAGAATTTTTTAAAAAAAGTTTAGAAACTTTACACAGTTTTTTATAATGATTTTTGTCTTTTTAATTCTTAACTAAGTTCTAAAAATTAAAATTAAATTATTTTTTTAGTATTTAAAATTTAGCTCGAATTCTGAAAACAATGATAAATGATAAAATAACATTAATAACAAAATAAAGAGATTAGAAGTTGCGTTTGTAAGGTTTGAAACAAATTTTTTTAAAACAAAATATAGTTATTAATTAGAAATTACATTAGACGTTTAGGTACTTTTTATTTATTAGACTTCTTTTTTGGGTTTGTGAGTCCAAAATCCTGAAACTAAACTTACAATTATTTATGACTTAATAAATATATAAAGAGAGGAAAAAAATTATGAGGAAATAGAAAGAAGCCAGTCCGAGATAGTGTCGAACGCCAGAAATGTGACAGCGCCAGCAGGGGCTGCCTTAACCGTTGAGGGTATGATGCCTTTATAGAGACCCGCCGTTCCTTCGCTTTTCATAATTCTCCGTAAAGCGTCAATCATGTTTCTGTAAGCATCTTGTTCCACCCTCGCCCCGTATCTCGGATGCCTTTGTAGCCCTTCGATCTGTGCAATTTGATAAAACGGAAATTAATACCTTTCACAGGGTTGTGTAGGAACAATTAAAAATGAAATAAACCAAATCTTTAAATCTTTTAAAAACTTCACATTCTTTTATATATATACACATGTATATTTATTTCTTAATTTAGTAATGTTTAAATTAAATTCAGAATGAGTTTTAAATGTAAAAAGAACTTCATTAAATTATAAATTAGTTGTTTGTGTCTACAATCTAAGATTAAAATTTGCATCTAATAAGTTTTTACTATTCTTTAAATGATGAGTTCATAGGAAAAAGACAACAAATTTTGTATCAAGTAAATCATTAACCGTTACATTATTCTTTTGATTTTGCGTCCAATAAATTCGTCAATTTTTTGCAATGTTAAATAGATCGAAAACTAACTAGACACAAAATTAAAGGTTTATATTTTAAGTTTTAAAGTGCGTTCATGAATCTATTTAATACAAATAGCCCGAAAAGTACCTTTTTAAAAACATTTGATTATTTTAAATGCATCTAAAAAAGCACGTAATTTGTATTTTCAAAGCAGTTTCTGAAGAGTTTTTTTAGTGTTAATTTTTTAAGCCTTTCAAAAGTATCGTAGTGCTTCTCTTAAAACTCCTTTTAATAACAAACCCATATTAATAACAAAGAGAGCAAACGTACCTGAAATCTTTTCTTAACCACATCAAGTGGATGGCAAACAAGTTTTGCACAAGTCCCAGCAGCCAACCCGCAAAGCAAAAGTTGAAAACTTGAAAGGCCATCTTTCCTATTAGTTGCTCCAGAATTAGGGTAGTGGCGGTGGTTCCAGGACTGTAAAATCATTTCAAGGAAAACTATGAGACAAGAAAGCAAAGAATATGTACAACAATGGTACGGTAAACTTGCCATAGTCCATCGCCTGAACGTGTCGTAGGTGCCGAACTGTAGACCCGCGTATGGAACAATCTCAACAAGTGTAGGTGACAATCCAGCGTATAGTCCTCGAAACCCCCGGGTTTGGAATATATCAATAAAGGCAGACCTCATGGATGGATAAATCTGGCATGTTTAAGCAGCTCATCATTCTTGCATCAAGAAACATTCTAAGAAAAATCTTTTACTAAAACTGCATGTGCAGATGCAATGAGCATTTGTTGCTATAGCCACATTACTCAGTTACTAACTACATCGGTACTCGTAGTACTGATTCGATCGAAAATTGTAAATTATCGACACTGAAACAGAGACTCAAAAGGCTTCTTGGCAGAGAGTCATGGAAATAAAAGGATTATAAGAAGCTGATGCTCAAATAAAATTGTTTGTACGCGTTTGTCGACACCTATCTTCTTCATTCCCTTTCTCTGGAAAAGAATGTAATGTATTTCTATATCCTATACAGGGTGGGACAATATATTGATTGCTTTATATATTCTACACAGTTCAGTTCGTGACATAAGATAAAATGAGTAGTTCATCAAATTCAATACCTTAGGTTCACCTTGTGATGCCAATATCGTTCGAAGAAGATCAAATGGATATGATCCAACAGTTGCTGCACACCCTGCCAGTGCCCCACTGATATAAGAAAGATAAGGGTTCAATTGTATGTGGGCCTCTGCATCAGATGAAAACCAGATAATATCAATAAATAAAAGCAGAAGCAAGTTTATTCTGAATGCCAAGTAGTTTTAGCATCTAGTATCTGAAGAAAGGAACCTATGTAACCAAACAAAGCATCAACTATCTGGTTTCCAGCAAGAAAATTGGATAAGGAGAGCTCAAAGTTCGCTAAAAAACCGATCCTTGTTTACCGACCATACATTGTCTAACCAAACTCAATTCTCTCTCGAAAAGTTCCTCAAAAAATTCGATTCGTGCAGATTCTTCCCCCAACTAATGAAGAGATCTCGACGAAATTGCCACATATGATGAGGGGATGAAGGAAGGGAGAAGGCATTTATTTATCCTTAATTTTTACTTTTATAACTAGGGGTGTCTGAATAGTTTAGGCAAAAGCCAGGAAATGGTTTGATCCTCCAACATTTTTATCGCCTATTACTTGAATGGTATTATCCTAGATGGTCACTATGATTGAACCTCAAAATAATTAGATATGGTTTTGTAGGAGCACCTTACATCTACATCCACCATTTATTTTATCCCTCCTAAACCTTATTCATATTGCAGTCTCTTTTTACTTCAACCACCTCTCCTCGTGTGGGTGTAGTAACGTGTTGGTCGAAGGTATATGCCTAAAATAGTTGAAGTATTGGCTATGTTCTATATAGTACCTGTCTTAGAAGAACCAGCAGCATATGTTTTCATTCTATGTAACACGGTAAATTGTATAGCTGTATATGGCATAACCATGAGCAGAGCAGGAACATTACCACGCCAAAAGCCCTACAAAAGATAACTCTGAATTAAAGAAAGAAGAAATATTTATTTAAGGATACTATTGTCGGGGAAAAAAAATCTAGGAAGTATATGACGCCACAGTATATCCTGAAGAAAGTTGAATAGAAGTGGAATCTCTCCAAGTAAACAAAAATATTTTCTATGTCACTCATCAGATTCAATGAAAGGTGAAATGGTAAAAACATTCAGAAATTATAGGGATTCGAGTCACTAAATACGTGCACGATGCTAGTTTCTGATGATACAAGAATAGGGCTGTAGGCAGCTTACAAATGTACAGAAACAAGCCATAAGGATTGGAAGCCTTCAAAGGCAATTAATACAAATTAAAAGCTTTACTCAATCAAGTATGAAACAGTATTAGTGTGATTAAATAAGTAATTAGGTCACAAGGAAACGAAGAATGAAGTAAACGATGGATTAGAATCAAGCTTTTTGGGGTTAGAAACTTCACGTAAATACAAGCAAGGTTTGGGCACCATGTGCCTTAGAATCAAGCTTTTTGGGATTAGAATAAAGCTTTTCCATCCGGATTTTTTAATCAGCCTCAGCACTGTGTGTAAGAGGCAACTTTGTGTGGATTTTTTCTGAAATAGCTACCAATCAATATTTACATTGTAAACCAATTTTCATCCAATCTCCATGCTTGCAATTACTTTGTTCGGCAGCTCTTTGGTTTCATCAAAGAGCTTTCAAGACCATTTGATTAGAATATATATCAACTCTCCTCTTTCTTGTTCTCAATCCCCATCCCTCCATTATCAGTTGTTAAGGAGGCTATATAATTTTCCTTAACAATAAAGTGCCAATTGCAGTCATCCCTACACTGTATCTTTTCATGAAGGGGACTGATAATCAAGCTGATCGACATAATATGTTGATTGGAGAATACATATAACATGATTTTAAAACAAGCATACCGGTAAGCCTTCCTCCCTGAAAATATCCTTTGTTGCTTGGACCATGCCGGTGTACTTTGATGGTCCAGACAAACTTCTTTGAACCAAAGCCCATGAAGTTATCGGCTCCAGTTGAACCTACAAAACGAACGTGAACATAAGCATTCATCACAGTGTAATTAAATTACACGGAGAGATACAGATATGCAAAACTAAGAGTAGAACTCTCGTAGCATAGCAGGCAATGGCACTGGAAATTTACTCCGTAGCAAGCAGGATTGAGAGTTTATCCCTCGCAGAAAAATGCAAAACAAGGAAGCTACCAATCAATGAATTCTACATGAAACTACATTTGGCAACAGATGACAGTTACATTAATTGCGAAGCCTGAAATGAAGAAACTATTTCTACATAGGAAATTCCATACGTAAAGTGTTCAGTTCGAAGTTGGAACAAACAAAATCTGCATATCCACACCTCTAACCTGCTATGCAAGAAAAAGCCATAGAAGAACGCTGAAAAGAAGTGAAATGAACAGCATCGAAGAAAGAAAAAAATCGCTATCAATTTTGAGACGAGCAACAGATTGAAACTTCCAACTAAATTATAAAACCACAAATTCATCCAGCATCACTATTTCTTTCTTCGCGGGTGGAGAAAAAAACATGATGTTCAATTTCGCACTTACAGCCAATAAACATAAAATCTTAATTCGCGGCTAACATTT